CAGAGAGACTTTATATCCAGCCATGGAGTTTATACACAAACAAATGATAACACTTTATTTACTATGTATGCTTTAAGTCATACATTTTGCATTAAATACATAGGAAGTAAAAGTATATCGAAGAGCTTCAGAGGCGTAGCTAGATCATTTTTATAAGGGTGCCCAGGCAATAACTAATGTACACTGAGGGGGGGCCTAAAGTGGATCTGCGCCAGAAACTCAGGGTCATCCTACTCTGTTCCAACAGAAACACATATGAGCACGTCCATATTTTCTAAATAAAGACAAACTATACTTTCCTACAACCTTTTGCCAGTAAAAAAAAATGTAAATATCCGTGCTTTCTAGATAAAAGGTATAGTGGATAAAAATCTTTCAGTTCCGAGTTCTGGGTTACCTACTTTTATCAATAATCACTCTGCATAAAACTGATATTTAAAAGTACTAATATCTACATAAATTACGTTTTTATTAAATTAGTTATTTATCTATGATTTGACTAAGGATGACCATATAAAACAAAATCTAGTTCTGAAGAGTGGATAAATTCCATATTTATCCTATTGAAGAGCATAATTAACCAGAGTGTTTTTGTTGCCAGGATACTTTAGTTTAAATACATGAAAAAAATAAAATGTTTTGAATATTCTACTTTAGAGTATTACTGCTCCCACCATCTGTATTAGAAGGGGGAAAATGGTAGGGGTGGCCAATGATTAGCTAAGGGCGGCCATGGCCACCCCTGGCCCCCCATCTAGCTCCGCCCGTGAAGAGCTTATATCAGGGAAGCCAGCTGTTCACCAAACCTTGGGGTGAGATTTTGAAATAGTTTGGACAGGAAACCCTGTCAGGGTTAGATGAGGATAAGTGCAGCTAAAGGTTGGAGGTTTTCAGAGGATTTAACTGAATCAAAGTGGAAAAATTTGGAATTTTTATAGCCCAGTAAATGTTACTGTGTTACAATAAGTGGTCTGTGGTTATTATGTTAATTATGTATATTTTTCTCACAATATACATCATATTTCTACACTCTGGTGATTTTTAGAGAACTGAAGTAAAGCGGAATGGGCCCCACTAAAATACTTGCATCTTAAATATAGTTTAAACTAAGAATTTCACGACATTGTTCATTAACTATTCTACGGGAAAGGATTAGGGCCAAACATTTTAAAAAGTTAACTGATTTTTAAATATAAATCAGGTTAATTAATATGGGAAAAAAGCCAGAATTCTGATTTTTTTTTTTCAGCATTCTGACTTTAATCTCTTAAAAAAGTCAGAATGCTCAGAAAAAAGTCCGAATTCTGACTTTTTTCTCATATTACACTGAAATAAAATTAAAAAATCTGTTAATTTTTAAATTTTTTTCAGTGGCCCTAATCCTCTTTCGTATTATTCTCCGCAGTTAAAGTAAATAAAAAAATGGGGAACTAATAAGCTATTACTGGCACTGATACAGGAACCAGTGCAATCAAAACCTATGCAAACTACACTGTGTATGAATATTTGGTAATAGGCTAAGGATTAAAAAGCTTTATTCATTATTTTATTAGTTTTTCTTACAACTGACAAAACAGCTACAGAATTCAGACCTCCTAGGAGGCTGTAGATTTTATAAAAAAACTTACCATGACAGGAGACACACTTCTCTGGATGTTTCATTTATATGGTGTGATTAAAATTAAGCTTTTAAACATATCCTGTGGACCAAAATAAAGATAAATAATAATAAAAGAAGAACATCTCTGTGGTTTCTCCTCTATGAATCCAGGATAAATGAGTTGTTCTGCACATCCTCCCTGTTGGTTGGTCCTTTCTTGGGTGGCTGATCTTTTGAAAAATAAAATACATACATGATTCTTTTTCTTTTTGTGAAGCTCCTATGGGTTTGAGAGGCAACCTGAAAGCTTTAAGAATTAAAATATTGTGTTTTTTTATATATATATATAGAGAGAGATTTTTTTTT